CATAAATACATGCATGCATGTATGTATGAATACGTAGCTACATAGATAAATGGATACACACACACACACATATATATATATATATATAGTATTATATATATATATAAACACGTAAACATATATATAATATATATATATACACGTATATATATATATATATATATATATATATAAATGTATATATATATATACATATACACATACATATACACATGCATATATATATATATATATATATATATATATATATATATATATATATATATATATACATACACACACACACACATATATATATATATACATATACATATACATATACATATACATATATATATATACAGCTACATACATACATACATACATACACACACACACACACACACACACACATATATATATAATATCAACATGAGTAACTTGGCCATGCACTGCGACATATCACTTGCAACATACCGGTCCGTACTACCGCCATAAACATCCGTGTCAAAGGTACTCTTTCCAGCACCCAGTTGCACTCTCTCTTCCTCATTGACTGCTTCAGACTCAGCTTTGCGCTTCGCTTGCAGTTCAGCGATCTGTTTGTCGATTGCGGTGTCATCCATATTGTATACTACTACGAAACTACAAGCTCAAAACCCGCGTGAGGCCAGATGTACCGGAAAGTTCGCGTAGAGAAAATTGCAATATATAGAATTGTTCAGATCTTAGATCTGTGCCATAACAGGCTGCGTCACTCAATAATATTATAGTCTATCCGATGGATCAAATAGATGTGCGTGTTGACTATTTCGTATGAACTATGTGTGTATACCAGTCTTCATATTCGGCGTCGCATGGATTATCGCCCAGAGTGATATGTCTGATTTTCAATTGAGTACCGAACTGTTCAATACAAAAATTGTTAGGACGTTACGAACTGGCGTTTTAAAAATACACACAAAAATCAAATTGTGTGTGTATGTGTTTTTTAGTTGATCTCACACCCCCAGGCCCCAGAGAGTCCCAGACTCCCGGAGAGTTTGAAATTTTATTTAATACTGCCGGGGTGGTGGTACGTTGTCCAAAACAAACTTGAGCTGCGGATTAACGAGATACTTTAGAGTCATATCACATCGAAGTAGTTCATGTCTGCATACAGCTGTCCTGTATTCAGACGGTTAGGTACGCGTGTACCAGAACATACACTGAGAAATATTCAACGGCATAGTTGCCGGCTATAAATAGCTTTGAACACCATGGCTGCAGCCTGTGACACTGACATGGTCGTGTCTGGTGACCAGATTACTGATGATAACATAGAAGCCAACGAAACGAATAACAAGGCAATTCTAGGCATTCTATCTACCTCTATATTTAGCTTTATAGACCAGAAAGATGAAGCTGTCACTTATGAAGACGTTACGGACAGTGACATCCACCAGGCGGTTAATCATTTCCGGAAGATACATGAAAAGGGGTACGTAGGTTTCAATTGATGTGCACTTCGAAACTTATTTACCGAATATATGCATGATAGGATGATATAATCACGATTAATGATATCTCCTCCTATACTTCTGATAGTTAATAATTTGTGCCTGTAGATTTCTTATTCTTGCATGCGTGTACTTCGTAGCTCGTTTCGTTGACATTACTTTTGTCGCGAAAATCGGTGCGATCATTGTCGCTGGTATTTTGCATCGTGTACATGTATTCTTTGTGTTGCAAGTACCGCATATTAATGTCGTATGGATTGAATTATATGTGCAAATGTGCGATGAATGCGAAAAAGCATAAACACACACACACACACACACACACACATATATAT